AATGTCTCACTAGCAGCTGCGTCTTTAGGTTAATGCCCAGGTATTTCACACAAGATTTAATTGGAATGTTATATGCCTCTGAAAGGTTGCAATCATGTATGGCCATAAGTTCACATTTATTATGGTTAAGTGTCAAACCAGATGCTTCGGAGAAGAGGTTAATTAATTTCAATATTGGAGGAACTTGTTCTAGGTTTTTGAGAAAAACGATTGTGTCATCTGCAAGTTGACTAATCACAAGTTGTTTATTAAAGATGTTCAATTTTTCAATGTTCGAATTTTTTAGCATAATGGCCAGCATTTCAACGGCCATTATGAATAAGAAAGGTGAAATATTGCACCTTTGTTTTACTCCTCTATTTAAGAGAAACGTGGTGTGGTACCAGTTGGAAGCATCACTGTGCTTGAAGTGAAGTATCTCTATAGAATGTTTTAATTACTCGACAAAATTTCGGTCCAAAGCCATATGCTTGCAGTACTTGAAAAAGAAACTGGTGCTCTAATTTATCAAAAGCCTTATGGAAATTAAGGAATAGAATGAATCCTTTGTCTTCAATTTGGTCATTATAATCTAAGAGATCTTTTCCCAGTCTAATATTATTATGTATAGATCTTTTATTTACAAAACCTGATTGTGTTTCGCTAATAATGTTTATTTTCTTTTTAAGTCTGTTAGTATATATATATATAAGTAATTTAGAATTATTATTTAAAAGTAAAATTGGACAATAATTTTCTAATAGTTTATTATTTTTATCTGATTTAGAGATGAGAGTGATGATGCCTTGTTTCATACTTGTTGTTAGAGTAAAGCTGTTTATGGTCTCATTAAAAACTTCAAAGAATAGGCTCCTGGGTGATTTCCAAAAATGTCTATAAAAGTTACCTGTCAACCCATCAGGGCCTGGAGAACGGTCATGTTTTAGGCACATGATGGCTTTGTCAAGTTCCATTAGATTTATGTCTTTTTCACAACTATCTTTAAATTCATTATCAATTTTCGGAATATGTTGTTTAATTTGTTTCAGGAAATTCTCTGCCTTTGGAGCTGAGTAGGTGGAGGTGTACAAGTTTTGATAGAATGTGGTAATTTCATTTACAATAGATGTTTCATTAGAGCATTCCTCGCCATTAATCTTTAAAGATTTTATTGTCTTTCATTCTTGGCTTTTTTTTTCTAATCTGCAAAAGTAAGTAGTGTTCTTTTCACCCTCCTCTATCCACTTTGCCCGTGATCTTATGTAGGCTCCTCGAGCTGTCCTTTCATATATTTTATCTAAATTTTCTTGTAGTTGCGCAAGTTTTATCTGTACGTTTTCTGATATTGTAGAGCACAGGGTAATGGCAAGTATGTATTTTATAAATATTTTTATAAATTTTTGCAATTTCCCATTCAAAGGCTTGGAAGAGAAGCCGGTGACGCAGCAGCAGGCTGAGCCTCACCTTGGATTGCGCAATCCCTTGCTAACTGCGCTGGCTGTCATGCAGTGACAGCATACTGCTGTCTGGATGTCACCAATAAAATGGTTCAAACACATTCAATATATGAACTGATTTTCATAGTTTAGCTGATGTGTATAATGTACAGTGTTTTTTGTTACCAACTGTATGTGTGTAACGTGTTTTGTGTGCTGAGAGATCATAAAGCAGCTGAGAAGAGGTTCTTGGTGAGGCAGGCAGTTCTCTTCTCTTCTCATGGCAGGGGGTCCTCTGATCCCAGACATTCTTCTTATGACTCTGCAGCTGCAGTGTAAGTGTCAGCAACTTAGCAGCTCACAAAAAAATTACCATCTTTGTCATTTTCCCTGAACATAAACCTGTCAGAGCTATCAAGGAGGAGTTCCACCTGCATGCAGTCCTGTGGAACCTGCAGGTGAATAATGTAGTGAAGTGTAGTGAATAATCTGTTGGTCTGGAGGCGGAAACTTAGAGTTTCCTATCTCAGAGTAGATCAACTCTGAGTTTAGGATTAGACTCAGAGTTTGTTGAACCTGCTTTGTGAAACGGACCCCTGGTCAGTTGATTAATCTACATATGCCTAATCTTGCTCATAGCATTAAGTCTGTCAGCTCTGAATATTTATTGTGTTTTGCTTAGCCTTATTAACCCCCTGATTTCCATGTAGTTCGCCCGCCAGGCAGTAGTTGTTCCCCAGAGTGGCCACCCTGGTTAACTTTCCCAGATGCATCACTTCCCATTGACCTCTGTTTGGCTTCCTGTAAATATCGTGTACATATTTGTAAATTTAGACCAGTGTCAGACAGTAGTGTTGGTATTGCTAGTTTAACTACATCTGTCAGTAGCATGGTGGTAACATCACTATTTTCTAAATTAAATAGCTTTCAGTACCAAGCTCTTTTATTGATAAAGTAATGTGGTAGGTAGCATCCACACAGGCTACATTTTGCTGATCATTTCTGAAGCAACAAGCACAGCAAAGGTTGTAATAAAATAAAACTAAGTGTAAAAAATAAATATAAAAGTAGCCTCACATGCAGTGAACTACTTTTGCCTTTCTGTAGGTTAGCGTGCAACATTACTCACTGCACTGAATTTTCACTTAATGTAGAGTAACTGCACTACAACACTGGTTTAAAAATGTAAAATGTCCTGTGTCTGAGAAATTTTGTTAATTTTCTACTAATTTGCTTTTCCATTATGTCTTGGAGAAAACCTATTGTCTGTCTGGCTTATGTACAATGTTTATGTTTCTCATCCAGATAGTGTAACAACAATAATTTGAAGGGAGGAGGTCAGGGTGGATGGTTAATTGTCCAAATGCAAGACACTGCAGTTCATGTGTTTAATCTATTACATTGGGTCTTTAAACATAGTTTTTGCTATAATGCTGTATTTTTATGCTTTGTATTTATTTCTTATTTCATCTAGTTTTTATTATTTTACTGTGTTTTCATGCTGTCTTTAATCAATTTTTTTATTTGATTTGAATATTTTATTCTTTTTATGCTTTGTTTTAAATTGAAAAAAAAAAAATCTTTATGCCAGGTGTAACAGGACCCATGTCTTCCAAGAAGTTCCATCTTTGACTCATCAGAACCCAGAATGTTATCCCAAAAGTCTCAGGGCTCATTTCAGATATTTGTTTTGTAAATGCCTGACAAGCCTTATGTGTTTAGTCAGGAATGGTTTGCATGTTGCAACTCTCCAGTGGATGCCATTTTTGCCCACTGTCTTCCTTATTGTGGAGTCATGGACACTGACCTTAACTGTGGGAGGTGAGGCCTGCAGTTCTTTTAATGTTCATCTGGGTTCTTTTGTGACGTCCTGGATGAGATGTCAACACACTCTTAAAGAATTTTTGGTTGGATGGCCTCTCCTGGGAAGGTTCACCACTGTTCCATGTTTCTCCATTTGTGGATAATGTCTCTCACTGTGGTTCATTGGAGTCCCAGAACCCTAGCAATGACTGTGTCAGTGACTTTGTTTCGTATCTGTTCTTGAATCTCTATAGAACGTGACATCATGTGCTGTTTTTTGAAACCTTTTAGCCTACTTCACAATACCAGATAGGTTCTATTTATGAGATGTTTAGATTTGACAAGCCTGGCAGTAATAATATGTGGGTGTGGCTGGTGAAACTAGGTAGGTTGGTAGATAAGGAGGCAATTACTATTTCACATAGGGCAGGGTGGGGCTGGACAGCATTTTTCCTTTAATAAATGTAACAAGCCAGTGAGCATTCAGTACAATCTGCCCAGTTTTGCTGGGTGAGAAACTCTCAGTGATGTAGGTGACTGCCCCCCTCTTTGCCTAGACCAGGAATCGGCAACCCGTGGCTCCGGAGCCACATGTGGTTGTTTCATACCTCTGCTGCAGCTCCTTGTAGCTTTGGAAAATAATGAGTATTTTAATGTATTTTATTATAGTTCCTTAGTTTTTAAAAAGTAATTCTAAATTTGAAGATTTTTGTGAAATTGTAACATCCAAATAAAACGTGTTTAATTTTTTTTGACGCTCTAAATATGCGTCACAACCGCCGATGTGCGACACCCGCCAGCACACAAAGTGTTGCCAACTTGGCGGCTTTCTCGCTAAATATGGCTTTCCAAATCCTCTTGGCGGCTATTTTTTTTGTCAAAGGCGACTAGCGACAAATCTAGTGACTCTTTCAGGTGTTACTGGAGACTTTTCTGGTGGTTTGGAGACTCTGACGTGAAAACACGTATCGTTCTGCGGTTACTGTCCTCAGCGAGCAGCGGTGGTGCTCCTCCCTGTCCTAAAGCACTCACAGGCAGTCAGGAGTCTGGTCAGCAGTCCCAGCTGCGGTCAGCAGGACAATCAGATGGCATTTTCACTTTGCTTCCACCTTTTAACAGTATATGCATCATTTGCACTATTTGTTACTTCCGCCAAGACAACCCAGTCTCACAGCAATTTGTGAAATAGTCACAAAACTTAATCTATTGATTCATGTCCAGGGACACTAATTGCCCAACTTTTTCGTGTCCTCCACCGCAAATTTCAAACCAATACATTTTAACTGTAATTATCTTTCATGTCTGGGCCGCGTTTTTTTCCCCCGTTAGACCCGATTCTTTAGTTGGAAGCCCAATAACAAGCTGGAGAAATCTTCAGTTCTCAGTTGAGTTTAATTTATTTTGGTCACAGGTAAAGTGAGGCAGCGCTGGAATTCAGAGGGACAGAGAAGAATCTCATGTCCAGCTGAACTGAGTTTTTTTCAGTTCCAGGTTACAGATATCTTCTTGGGCTGGGCCTGCCCCGAACATAGATAAGATTTGTATGCTACTGAGTTTAATTGGCCAGTTGCTAATGGCGTGGACAGGCATACCTCTTCTGCGTTCTGTCCATGTCCGTGAAATTTGGTAAGCAACATGTGTGGATGTTGTTGGTACGGCGTGCAGCTAAAGCAACAATCCTATCTGACAGAACAGAGGAGTTTCCGCTATCTCTAAGTGTGTGAACCAGTTCTCATCTGCCATATCATCTTCAAGGACATAGACTGTGCTGTATAAGAAAATACGAAACAGAATCATAGGCTCGGTGCAAAATACAGATTCAGAATACATGATAGCTCGAGACATGCTTAATTATAACATTTCCCCCTTTTGACATGATTTTATCATGTCAATTAAATTAAGGTAGGAATGTTAGCCCAATTGTATCACATCTTTCAGTGGTAACCAACTCAACAGGGCCCCAAACTGCAAGTGATCATCCACCACAAGGTGCAACACAACCAGGCAGGAAATTTTTTGACATCCCTCTTTTGATATAATTTTATTATATCAACACAAATAAAAATCTCATAATCGTATAGTGGATATGTAAGCAGGTCTTCATTGCATTGAGCATCCTATATGGATGCTGGTATGTGGAAGCTGTTCTTCATTGCTTTAACATGCAGCAAGCAATTCTTCATTGCACATACATGTGGAAATAATAACCAGAGCAATGTTAATAAGGGCGTAATAATAATGTTTAAGGGCGCTGGCTTAGCTGGCAGTCTCGACAGTTCCTGTCTCTGGACAGATGTAACTGTGAATGGAATTTCTCTGTAAGGGATTAATAAAGTATTATTGATTGATTGATTGATTGATTAATCAAACAAAACAACCATAATGTTAAAAGCATAAGCTAAACATTTCATATCAGGAGTAAACATCATGGTACTGGGAACCTCTTTCCCAGGAGCGTGTAACCTTCTGTGACTCTACTGATAACATTTCCGCAATAAGCATATAAGAGAGTGGGGAGGAAAATAAGATGTACCTATTTCTGTCCATATCCTACAAGCACAATAATATAAAAAGCTATGAGTCTCACGCCACTACGTGTATGTAATGCTATATATGGATATGTGGTAACCTTAGCAAAATCAGTGTATTTACAGGGGTTCAGGGATACCAACAATGGTCTTCGTCGTCGTCGACATCCTTGTGAGCTTCAGTCTCATCCTCTCCAAGCTCAGAGAGGGAGATCAGTGGAACCATTCCACCTGCATGTTGGGATAATTGGTAAAGAGGAGGTGTGGGGAATTTATCATTAATGGCTGTGGTAATACAATTTAGACAGAGGTGCCTGATGCATGGTATGCAGCAACATCCACATAAGGTTAACACGGTTACTGCTACCAGTAGTGAAATAAACCCAGATACAATTAACGTTTTCCACTGTCCAAAGGTTCTGCTTAGCCAATCGGAGAGGGCATTATCAATCCCTGAATGTTCTGCTAACTCTCCAGACATGATTTTAAGACCCGAAAGAGTTCAAGTTATGGAGCCACTCGGGGCCGTGTTGTTTGGGATGAACACACAGCAATCTTGGGAAAACATAGCACACACACGTCCTCTGTCAGCTAGCAGGGTCTGGATGACGTCATGATAGGTGGACTGCCCCGAACTTACTTCTGAAGCTGAAGCTTTAATTACCTTTACTACACTGAAAAAAAAATTTTTTTTTGGTCACGTAATTATTACCTCCTCTATCTCTTTAAATTCAACAAAGATTTACCATTTCTGTGCTTTTACTTTAAAATATCACCTATTATGTAATGTGTAAATTTGATCATTCATATCAAGTAATATTCACTTAACTGACATATTAACTTTACAACTTGATGCCAGAAAGTGAAATGGACTTGGATAGTAAGAGTGAATCTGGCCCCCTAGTGGCCACTCAGCGCCTGACGTCAGAGGATCGTTTGCGCTTTTCCTCTGAAAGACGTTGAGACATGTTGGAGAACTGCAGGCTGCAGGATGAGGACAACTTCGTTGTTCATTTTAAGACAAAGTTCATGGATATGGAGCCATACAGGTAGGTTACATGCTTAATTTACTTCATATGTTGCTGTTTGCACATCTGTTTAAGTCAGTGTTGAAATACTGAATACTGCTTGTACTGCAAATTAAAGTAGCGACTACAAACAGGCTGCTAACAACTAGCTACTAACAGTTTCTAGAGTTTATCAATTCGCCTGCTAGCTGCCAGAAGTGACCCAGAACTTTGAAATTTGCCTGAGTTGCACCATGCTGATATTTGAAATAATGAAGTGGGAACACTCCGTTGTAGCTGCTTAGTTTAGATTGCTAGTGTTAGCCAGTTATCGCAAACTTGTGCCTGTTTTAGCATGTGGCCCACAGCTATTTTTTGGATTTCATGGCAAATTTGAAATGGCTTTTTTGTAATACATAGAAATTTGTTGATGTGCTTTTTCAAATTAAAATAGTAGAGTGGGGAGAGGGAGGTGGGCTGCAGACAAATCGCACTCTCTCTCATGCTTGCTGTTGATTGCAGCAAGTATAAAGTTCTAAATTTAATGTTTATCGCTAGCATTGGTTTAAATGTATGATAAATTTGAACACTTTAGTTGGTGTTGGTGCTCAATAGTAGTAGTATGATGGGAGCACAACTGTATTAATTGTTTTAGCAAGGTGGGAGACTTTATCATGCCGTGTTTTTATCATCTTCTGTTCCAGGTTAAGGAGGAGTTCAAATGGCTGACAACAATTCATCTGGAGCCGCTATATGTGAGGCAAAAAACGTTTTTATTCAATTTAACAAATACAAGGACATGCATTTTAATTGGCAATTATGGGCAATGTGTCCCAATTTTCAACTGGTTCTGAATCTGAAACGTTTGAAAATCAAGTATTATACAGTACTTCATTCTATTAAGTCAGTTATGTCTTCATGTATTTGTCATTCCATTTGACTCAGTTTCTGAATTTGTTTGTTTAATTAAATAACTTTTTTTTTCTTTTTTCTTTTTTTTTTTTGCACTTCTTCAGTTAATAATTACCTGTTTGTTTTGCTTGGAGCAAATCACATCACTGTGCAGTCATACTCAGAGTTTACAATACCATTTTCTAAAAAAATGACAAACTTGATTTGATTTGCAAGTTGCATGCTGGGTTCTGAGTCAGACCTTTGTTGGGGGTTCAGAAAATATTAGAAGATAGTATTTTTAACTGCCATCTGGATTTTTCATACAGTCTGGTCTATGAAAGGATTGTTGCCTCAGTGACATATGTACACTGACACATTAAGGCACAGATGTAATCCAGCAGAGGTGGCATGTTGTACTTGATTTTAACTGTGTGTTGTGTTTTTAGGCATGTTTTAATTGATTTTATTTGCATGTTGTTTTTAGTGTTGTGCATTTTAACCTGCTTTTACTTTTATAGTTTTATATTTTGCATGCAATGTCCCCACCCACTGTCCCCATAGCAACCTATCACCTGACTCTACTGCCCAATCCCTGAGACCCCCAAATAAGCGCACCTGTGCCATGGCGCGAAATGTAACATACAAAACAAAGAGAGACAGAGAGACGCAGCAGAGAGCAGCCACGGCGCAGATGGAGCCCACGACAACGTGGCAAGGAGGCACACGCACCAGGGACGACGAGCACGCTAGGACCACAAGTGTTACAAGGCGACACACACAGGGGCAGAGGTTTTCTCTGTCTTCGGTGTAAGTACCACTTGTTGAAGTAGTGACACTTGTCTCGTCGTAGGTGTCTCAGTATACCAGAGAGGACCAGTGCCGGCTGGGACAGAGCAAAACAGTAAAGGAGTATCGCGACGCTGAACGTATGCAGGGGCAGAGGTTTCCTCTGTCTTTGCTGTGACCGGGTGCATGTGACCGAGGACCCCCCAACCGACCTGGATCGGCGTGGAGGAGAAGCACATCAAGCACCTTGGACTTGCTGCTCTGGCAGTGCCTTTTAAATATATTTTTAGAGCATTTTAACATTTTTAGCCCACTTGTTTTATTGGACTCTTACAGTAATTATTTTAGTTTGTGGGCGTTCATATTTTTAATCTCAATTTTTTTAATAAATATTTTTAACTGGCCCTGTTCCTGTCCTCCTTGGCAACAGTGTGCTCTCACCTGGACATTTCCATTTTAACAGCAATATTATTTCTCTTGGTCAAACTTTCCATTTTTCACATTTATCCATAAATTACTCCCTTCCTTACACAAACCTGGCTTAACTCTGACAAAGATGTGAAAAGTCAATCACTAATTTAGTCTTAGTAAAGTAAATAGATTAAAACAGGCTGTATGAACTGTCTGCTTCAATACCATGAATCCCCTCTTGTATATTTAGGAATATTAAAGGAAAAATGTTTAGTATATTGACTTCTGAGCACTGAAACACATGTTTTTGACAGGATATAAATGATGAAGACCCTGCTCATCATGTCCTCAAGCTCCTTGTAGTCAGTGGAAATGCAGCACAGGAAGGCCTTGCTCTGGCTGAATTGGCAGAACATTTATTATCAGTGTACTACATTCTTGTGCATAAAGGATTTTTGAGGAAACTGACATCCCTGCTTTTGATGAACTTTCAAAGCTGTAGACTCAAATCACACTCTAACAGATGAGGACTGAAATATTGTTTCAAGTTAATAGTGCTGTTGTTTGAAAGTATTTCGTATTTGTAGAAGCCTTGTTAAGAATTGAATTTAATTGAGGTGGGCAATGACGTCACTGAGCTGAGAGGTCAGGCTGGCACTGAGCTTAACTTACTTACAGACTGCTCTTCTGATCCTTTTTTTGGCCGATTTCTGCCTTCTGACAATGTCGGGCAAGGAAAGTGGCCTGGCTCCGTCCGGAAAAACTAGCAAATGGTACAGAAATCCGAGAAACAAATGCGACAGCGAGATGCAAGATGGCGGCTCAGGTGAAGGTGGCTACTCCTCACAGCTAATTCAGGAAGTGACCGAGAGCGTCGGAAAGATTCTAGAGGAGAAGCTGGCCAAATTCATGAATACGCTAGAAGCTGTGACAACCCGAGTGGAAGGCAATAGTAAAAGGCTGGACGAAGCCGGGAACCGAGTGTCCACACTGGAGGACCTGCTAGCTGACGCAGAAAATAGGCTAAGGCAGGGGTGTCGAATCCTGGTCCTCGAGGGCCGCAATCCTGCATGTTTTAGATGTTTCCCTCTTCCAACACACCTGATTCAAATGATCAGGATCGTTATCAGGCTTCTGCAGAGCTTGATGATGAGCTGATCAT